ATGGTGCTGGCACAGAGAGGGCATTCAGGGGACACAAAGGGTCTGAGCTAATGTCCTGTCCCCAGCATTCTTTCTCTCTTGGGTGGTCCCACTTGGCTTCCTTGAGCCCCTTCAGTGCGCTGGGAATGCAGAGAGGCACCAGACCCAGGGCTGGCCAGGAGGAGCTCAGCCTGTGATGTGCATGGAGTGGAAGTAGGAGGATGCTTCTCAGAGGATCGCTGGTGCTGGACTCATCCTTCATGCCCTCCACCCACGGCCATGCCCTGAAACATTAGGGCCTGGGAAAACTGACCCAGCACAGGGTCTGCTGGGGATTTCTGCTGCCTGGAGCTCAGGAAGCTGCATCTCATTGCCGCAAGGAAATGTCTACCCTCACTGCCCACCAAGAGAGTGCAGAGAGACTCTCACTGCTGGTCCCTTCCCTTGGTGAAGAAGATGCTTCTCAGCCTCCCAGCTCCCTGAGTAGCAAGAGCTCAGTACCCCTGGCCAGGCTGCAATGTGTGTGCAATGCAGAAATGTATGTGGTATGTGGAAAGTAGAACATGGGAAAATATCAAAGTCAAAGCTTCTTATAGACAGTGATAACTGCAAATTCTAAAGTATCTTTTTATAAAAACATTAAATGATAAAATACTTTAAAACTGAACAATGATAAATGAGCCTTGTGGAGGTTCTGGGTCTAGCTATGAGAATTGACCAGAAGGGTAAATTTCCTGTAACTCAGTTATGGCAGGTGGTGTCAAGATAAGCAATGTCCTATAATGATTGATTGTGTAGCTGGAACCACCCTATCTGAGTTTAAATCTCAGCTCTGCCCGTTGCTAGCTGTCTGGCCTTGGGCAAGTCACTTAACCTCTCTGATCCCCAGTTTTCTGATCCGTACAATGGAGATGATAATAGCCCCTCATTCTCAGGATTGTTAGATGGATTTTTTAGTAGGTATGTATGAAGCACTCGGATAGATCACAGCATGTAGGTATTCTGTCTACATGACTTAGTTTATCTTTGAAGGTGCTGGTGGGCATCCCAGGTGGTATTGGGGGTCACGTTTGTCAATCCCTGGACAGCAGTGTCCCTTTGGCCTGGGCCCCAGTCATGCTTCCTCATTTCATTCATGTGCCAAGGCTGCCTGCTCCCGGAATTGTCCAAGCCTATCCTGAGAGGAGAGGCTTCCTGGCCTGTATGTCCTTAAAAAACTCTATGGGGCAATGGAGTGGAATCTACGCTGTCTTTGGAAGAGGTGAATCTCTAACCCACCCTTATTCCCATTCCACTTGCCTTGCTGGTTTTCTAAGTTGATGCCAGTTTCTTTCTGATAAACTCCAAGTCCTGGTTTCTAGACAGATTCCTGGAGAACCTCCCAGAGGCTGAGATGGCGGTAGAATAGAAAACCTCTTTTGTGGAATATGCAACATCAGGAAGGGAACTGAATGTAAAGGGGAATTAAAGGACTGTGTGCTTGAACATTTGGGCTTCAGATAGAGACACAGCTATTTTCTGTAGGAAAGTTACCTTGGAGATCTTCTCATACTTGGGCAGGCATGGGTGGAGGGTGAGTTCAGGCCGAAAAATAGAATGATGAGATTTAGATGGATTCACAGATGATGAGCTCACAAGAGAAATGTTGAGCCCCAAAGAGATGATTGGAAACAGGACCTTAGAAGCATCAGGAAGGACCCATGTTCTCCTTCCCAAGAGAGATGAACTCCAGCCTCAACTTAGCCTCTGCCTGGCTGTGTAAACTTAGGTGTGCTCCCCGCTGTCTCTGAACCTGGCTCTGACCTCTCCTCATCTGTAAAATTTGGGTATTGGAAGGCATTTATCAGTCTATATTCTAGCTCCCAACCCCCGTGTGCCTGGGAGAGCCCTTCAACCTCCGTCCCTGGTCCTCCTGTGACTCAGCATCCCTCTGAGCCTGGGGGGTGCTCCAGCTCTCTGTTCTGCTGACACCTTCATAAGCAGAGCCTGGGACTCTTAAGAAGGTCCAAGCACCATCATCATCATAGAACACACTTACGGGATACAAGAATAAACCTGAAATACCAATATTCCAGAGACAAAAACTTACTACAGTTTCATTTTTATCAACGTTGGTATCCGAACTTTAAATGTTGACATTTTTCTGGGGAAGAATACCAATTTCTCAACTCTTTTTGCTACACATAGCTCCTGGGTTTCCTCTCCCACACTCCCGCCATGCTTAATAAACACTCCTGTTCAACAAACCCTTTGGATAATTTCCCTAATCTTTCAGGGTATAGTGGTACGTTATTCAGATAAATGTTTCTGGCAATTTGCTCCTAGAAGGAACTCTGCACTTAATGGTTGAGGAGGACTCCCAAAACCTTCATCTTCAGTTTCCAAAAATGCTTGGCCATCTATAGCAGTCATTTCTATAAACATTTTGTTTAAATTAGCCTCCAGAGACTCAAAACTGTGTGGAGTTTCCTTCCTAAAGCATTCTTGTAAAGTCTGTTGTTTTGACATTTGAATAATCAGAGCAAAACACATTTGAAGTGCTTTGTTTATTTTTAGCAATGTCTTTCTTCATTCTCTCCATTGTCTTTATTATGTCTGACTCAAAGATGATTTATCTTGGATATGTACTGATTTTAGAGTAGTTTTATCTTTGTGAGATTTGGACATGACGAAGCCGACATTTTGCTTCTAAAGTATTCCTCACAAGATGTAGAGAATTCTCAAATAGTGCTTTTGCTTGAAGGACCCCTGGCTTAAATGAAATTAAGCCGCTAAAAATGAAATAGAGTTCTTAAAGGGATTTAGTTTCATGTGAGAACTGCTACTTCTCTAAAATTTCTGCCAATATTACATTTATAATATAATTAAATCACCATTGTTCTGCTTTTTATTGTTATTTAAACTTTATAAGCTCAAACAGTCTATAATCTTCGTAAAATGATTGAGCAAATACATTCTCCTAATATTTGTATTAATAATCAATCTTTTTTCTACTCAGCTATTTAAAGTTCTTAATTATTGTCTTTCTTCATAAAATTAATAGCTTTCATAATCATTACTTATAGCAGCATTTTACTCTTGAAATAATCAATGTGTGTTTACAACTGACTGCTTCAATTTCAGCATAAAAAGTACGTGGGAAAAACTGCATAGGCAAATACTTTGCAAGGAAGAAAAAGAGAGAAGTGGAGGGGAAATTATAGATTAAAAACAGGCAACACCAAGTGGTAATGTTCAGAGATACACACAGAGTGATAAAACAACGAGAGAAAATGATAGACCCTGACGTGGAAATTAGGACACAGGATTCCTGGGTTGGGGGACTGGGAGGTTTGTCTGGAGCAGTGCAGGGCTCTGGGTGGGTGGCAAGCTTCTATCTCCTGTGCGGAGTGTAGGGAGGGGAGCAATCCAAGGATATTCACCTTACAATGATTTATTTTTTAATTTAAATACTTTCTTTTGGTAGAGAGGGGGGTCTTGCTATGTTGCCCAGGCTGATCTTGAACTCCTGGCCTCAAGCAATCCTCCCACCTCAGCCTTCCGAAGTGCTGGGATTATAGGCATGAACCACCTTGCCTGACCTTGTAATGATTTATTAAGCTAAAGATGTTTCATATGGCTTGGGATATTTGTACTTAACAATAAAACAGGTTTTCAGAAAGGAAAAAAATTTGAATCTGGAAATTTGACAAACAAAACCAAACCTGGGACATAATATGTAGTATCAAAGACTCTTTCTTCATAAGTTTCTTTTTCCATCTGCCTGTGTTCATTCATGTTTTCCCCTTTTCCCTCTTGTCCTGGTGTATTGCCCTTCTCCTCAGGTGTAGGCAAGAAACTTGCTCTATCTCTCCTCTTGCCTCCTTGTCCCTCCCCTTCCTCTTCCCTCTCCTCTCGTCTGGCATTCAGTGCACCCCTCTGCTGTAGCTCCCACCACAATTAACTGAAATTCTCTTTTTGTGCATCTCTCTCTCCTATTGTTCCATAAGCAACTTGAGAGCAGAGGTGAGGTAGGTTTTGTGTAGTTTTGAATCCTCAAAGCCTAGCATACTCCCAGACATATACTAGACATCCAGAAAATGAGGTTTAAACTCAACATCTTTTTCTTTTCCCATAACATCTCAAGTTCCACTTAATGATTTTCAATGATTATTCAAAGAAGACTATATATCTTTTAAGAATTAATTTGTCAGAAAAGGGATTTCTGGCTGAAAGAATTACAGATTGAGTTTCTGTTTGTAAGTCCAAGAGCCTGCAGGGTTATATGCCTGCTGTGCATGTTATTCAGTTGACTTCCGTTTTTCCTTTTTGTAAAACATTGTTTGTAATTTTACCACAAATGCACATTTATGTAATAAAAGTATAATTATAATGTTCATTTAAAATGATTTTTTTTTCATCTAATGCACATTCACTGAGCAGTTTAAAAAGCATAAGACATGTTTACTGCAAATTGCATCTGAAATGCTTCCCTATGTTTGAGAATGAAGAGTTAGCTAGAACAGTGACTCCTGAGATGTACTGTGCTCAGGTGTTTCCAGACTCAGTGACCACAGTCCCTCTCATCCTACATGCTCCTCCACCTTGTGACTTTGCAGCTCCTTCTATTAGAATGTGGAATCTCTTTCCCCTCCCCTTCAATCTGGGCCTCCTTGTGACTTCCTTTGGCCAGTAGAATGCAGTGGGGGTGAAGCTATATGATTTCTGAGACTAGGCCATAAGAGGCCTTGCAGCTTCTTTTGCTCTCTTGGAAGTCAGCCATGATGCAAAGTGGTCCAGGCTCTCCTACTACAGAAGCCATGTGAAGAGAGAAGCCCTGGAGGATGGGAGGTCATGTGGAGGGGAAGGAGCCAGTGAAGCCCTCTCTCACTCCATCCTAGTCAAGCTCCCAGCTAAATGCAGCCACATGAATGACCTTGCCAGCTTTGTGGAACAGAAGAACCACCCAGCTGAGCCCAGCCAACCCACAGAATGGTTACAAATAATAAATGATTGTTGTTTTCAACCATTAAGCTTGGGAGGTGGTTTGTTAGGCAGCAGTCAATCATTTGTTCTTATGACAGGCATTTGTTTGCTGGTTAGATTGGATGTAACCTGGGATCACATCATCATACATACACAATGTCAGAAATGTGCCCAACAACAGGCACTTGGTCATTTGGACTTAATAAACCCAGCTTCAGAGAATCCCTGTTTCCCAGTCACTGTCTCTCAACTTTCCTACACTGCCACCAAGTATGAGCTAGCATCTATCCCTCTCACATTCCTCACCCCTTTAATTAATCCCCTGTTTTTCATGTATCTCATAAGTTTATGGTATATTTCCTAGGACCTGAAAACATAACCAACTGTCTTTCATCTTAAAAAAAAAAAATGCCCCTTTCCCTCAACCCATTCAAGTGTCCACCTTAGATTTCCATACCATCTCTTTCTCCTCTTTCTAGTCAAGTTTTTCCAAAGAGCTGTCTTCATTTTCCCATTTCCTATTCACTCCTCTCTCTATTTATTATGACCTGGCTTTAGAATGGTCTCCCGCCAGCATCACAGAGGAGCTCCACATCACCTAACCAGATGGATTCACCCCTGCCTTGACCTCTCAGACACAACACCAGCAACATGGCCACTCCTAGTGCCTTAAAACTATCTCCCTTTTTATGCTTCCCACCACACTCTGCTTTCTCCTTCCCACTCTGATTGTCCCTTCTCTGTTCCCTTCCTGGCCTCCTAAGCACCTCAGCCAGCCTCTTAGGCACCAGTGTCCCCAGGGGTCTTCAGTGCTCCTCTTCTCATCCCGGTCTACCTGCTCTGCTTTCAAGTTTGCAGGCTCTCTCAAGCTTTTACTTAAAGGTTTTCCTAAGTAGGTGTTTTTCCCCCAAACCTAACAGCTATGAATTCAATGACCTGTAGAACCTCTTCCCTTATATGTTCCAGAGATGAGATGCCTCAAACTCCATGTGCCAGAATGTGACTCTTTGGCCACCCCCCACCCCCCTGGCCCCTACTCCCAGTGTCTCTTTGTCTCTTGTAAGAGGACTTGCCCTAGGCCACTGGTTCTGCTAAGGCCAGAGAAATGCCGACACAGGGTTGCTTATGGGAAGGGGTCATCTGAGCCAAAAATGGGGAATAGAGGCAGCTGCATGCCTTGAACCACACTTGCAGGATCTGCCTATTCAGGCCTCTCTTGTTCTCAGTGGTGACCTGTCTGCCTCCTGCTCCTGGGTCCTCCTCCTTCTGTGACTAAGACACCTGTGCCCCTCCCCCACTGCCCAGTTGGAGGCTCAGTTCCATCCTCAGCCCCAGGACCAGCCCTGACCCAGGGCAGGAGGGGTTCACAGGGTCACAGTTGTGCCTAGACTTCCTTGAGCCTCCGTCCTCATCCCTGGGCCCAGCCTTGCTTCTGAGAACTGGGCCACCCTGTGCAGCCTCTGACAACTGAGTTCCTGCCTTTTTCCCCACACCAGAGTTTGTTCTACAAAGCTCAGGTTGGAGACCCTGTTGTTCTTGATTACAGCTTACTTCTCTGTTTCCATACCTCTACAGATGTGGTTTCTAAACAGTTTTCTATTATGTTGATGAGTAAAAAATTTTTTTAATGGAAAGAAAAATACAATTTTATTTTTAAATAAAAAAGAAAATATCATTTACTATCAACATCATTTTCTACTTTAAAAAAAGACATTTTATTTTATTATTTTATTTTTTGTTTTCTGAGAGAGAGTCTCACTCTGTCACCCAGGCTGGAGTGCAGTGGCATGATCTCAGCTCACTGCAACCTCCGCCTCCTGGGTTCAAGCAATTCTTGTGCCTCAGCCTCCTGACTAGCTGGGATTACAGGTAGGTGCCACCATGCCCAGCTAATTTTTATATTTTTAGTAGAAATAGGGTTTCACCATGTTGGCCAGGCTGGTAAAAAGGGACATTTTAATACAAATGAAGTAATCAAAAAATTCTGATCTCAGATCTCAGGATGGCCCTTTTCAAACAGAGGCAGCTGGCCGTTTCCCTTGCTTTCACTTTCCAGGGGTTTCTCCTCCCATGAATGGGCAGTGAAAGCTTCATCCTGGACCAATCCTGTCTCCACGATGGCTTTGGGGACCTGCCTTGCCCCATTGTTTTGTCTGCAGGACTGGCAACTTTGACCATGAGAGGCAGACTCCCTCTAACTGGAGGCTGACAAGTGGAAACTGTTGGGATTATTCCCAGAGGCCTTACATGGGGGTGGCTCAGCTTGATGAATTCTCAGGCATGATCCAAATCTGCCTCCCAGGCCCGGAATATCATTCTCCAAGGTCCCAGGGCTGCTGGGGCTCTAGGAAGCCATTCTCTGCTGCTCCTGGTGTGCCCCTAGGGCTGGCTGAGGTTGGAAAGGCCTCCCTTTGCTGGACTAGAGGACAAAGTGATTCATCTTGATCCCTGTGAAATGGTTGTGCAACCCCAAGAGGCTGAGACTCATCAAAGAATGTGCCTCTTTATTTTCTGTTCATTACATTGCCAGGCACAATCCAGACAAGACATCTCAGCACTGCTTCCAGACCTCTGCTTGAAGGTGGGATTCTTCAGTCTCCTGGACATTCTTAGAGTCTGGCTTTACACCAGCTCTCCTTTGCACAATGGCAACACCAGCAGTATCTGCCCATGTGCAAGAGAGTCCCCACAACAGCCCAATAGAGAAATGGAGGAGTTTGCAGGTCCATGTGACACTCTGTCACAATTGTCTTTTACCACTTAGGATGATGTAATCACTGTTCTCTAGCTCTCTTTTTTTTTTTTTTGAGACAGTCTCACTGTCACCCAGGCCGGAGTGCAGTGGTGTGATCTTGGCTCACTGCAACCTCCACCTCCCAGGTTCAAGTGATTCTCCTGCCTCAGCCTCCTGAGTAGCTGGGATTCCACCTAGTACATCTCCAGCCTACAGGTGTGTGCCACCATGCCCCACTAATTTTTATATTTTCAGTAGAGACAGGGTTTCACCATATTGACCAGTCTGATCTTGAACTCCTGGCCTCAAGTGATCCACCTGCATTGGCCTCCCAAAGTGCTTGGATTACAGGTGTGAGCCACTGTGCCCAGTCACTTTTCTCTGATTTTTAAGTGAAGTATATACATATATATACAGCAGGCAAGTGGAATTCCAAGCACAGAGGGCTTTTCAGCATAATTCTGAGAAGGCGACTTTCAGCAAAGAACTTGCAGACATGGTACAATTTTTTCTTGTTAAAGTCAAGGCAAGATTTTCTGGGAAGGGACATGAAGACCTTGACATAGTCTGCTTAGTTTTATTTATTTATTTATTTATTTATTTATTTATTTAGAGTCTCGCTCTGTCGCCCAGGCTGGAGTGCAGTGGTGCGATCTCAGCTCACTGCAACCTCCACTTCCCCAGTTCCAGGTTGAAGCAATTCTCCAGCCTCAGCCTCCCAGGTAGCTGGGATTACAGGCCATAGTCTGCTTTAAGAATAATAATAATAATAATAATAATAATAATAATAATAATAATAAAAGACAATAGTGAACAAGAAAGAAAGAATGATTCCCTCTTCGTACAAGAAGAAAGTTCTGATGCTTTTGGTATCATGGGATCTTAGGTTCAATGTATACTCACTATACTAAATAAGACAATTATTTAGTATAAATAATACTAAGCTAAATAAGACAATTTTTATTTGTTCCTCTGAACAATTCTCTATTCCCATGACTATGTCATGCTTTTCCAATTGCTATAACTTATGGCGTGTTTTGATATTTGGCATCCTCACTCATTAGTCTTCCTTTTCAACATTTTATTGGATGTGATTATGCTATTATTCTTCCAAATTATTGTTAGAATCAATTTATCAAGTCATAAAAATGTCCTCTTTGAATTTTTATGGGAATTGCGCTAAATTTAATTCTTAATTTGGGAAGATCTGACAGTTTTGACAACTTTGTAATACTGGCTCTTTTGATCCAATAATTATGGATTTCCACTTATTTTGGGAATTTTACATCAGCAAATTTTAAAAGCTTTTTCCTAGGTTCTTATTAGATTCATCTCCAGGTTTTTAAGATTGCAATGCCCCCTACGTTCTCTCTCTCTCTTTCTTCCACCTTCCTCCCACCTACCTACCTTTCTTTCTTTCTTTCTTTCTTTCTTTCTTTCTTTCTTTCTTTCTTTTTCTTTCTTTCTTTCTTTCTTCTTTCTTTCTTTCTTTCTTTCTTCTTTCTTTCTTTCTTCTTTCTTTCTTTCTTTCTTTCTTTCTTTCTTTCTTTCTTTCTTTCTTTCTTTCTCTTTCTTTCTTTCTCTCTCTCTCTCTTTTTCTTTTTCCTTCCTTCCTTCCTTCCCTTCCTTCCTTCCTTCCTTTCTTGCTTTCTTCATTTTCCTCTTTTGTGGCTAATATCTTCCCAACCTATTTTATTGCAAATGATTATTTTTAGTGCAAAGAAAAGCTACTGATATTGGTATAACAAGTTTATACCCAGCTCCTTCTCGAAGTCTTGTTTGTTGAATAATTCTTACTTAAATCTTACATGCTTTCTAGACATACAAGCATATCCTCTTCAAATTATGAGCCTTGTCTCTTATTTTTAATACTTATTTTACTTATTATTCCTATTCAGTCACAATTGCTAGAAAGTTCAAAACAATGTTGACAAATTCTTGGTGGTGCACATACCTGTCTTCAGAGAGATTGCATGGGGAATGCCAAATGCTTTACCATTCGAGAGACTTAGCATTGCTTCCTGAAAAGTCCTCTTGATCCTACTAAAACAATATTCTACTCATGACAGCAGGCATTCACCTGTCAAGGATCTATGTCCAGGGAAATGTTTCTGCCTCCATCTCCAAGTGGCCATGTGAGGCGTTTTAATAAAATGAGCCTCAGACTAAGACCACACCAGAAGGCTTCTGTGGTTGGGCACCAGTGGCGGGTGACAGAGAGCTCCTACCAAAATGCCCTTAATGCTCCCCTCAGCTTGGTTTGACTTTAGACAGCTTCTCACTGACTCTAGGTCCTGACTTCCCTTATTTTAGAGCATTTTCTTTAGAAAACTTGTCATTGAAAATGATTTATCTGTCCCTTTGAGATGTCGGTAAATCTTTTCAAAAGCCTCTTGCTGGCCAGGCACAGTGTGTCATGCCTGTAATCCCAGTACTTTGGGAGGCCGAGGTGGGCAGATCACTTGAGGTCAGGAGTTTGAGACCAGCTTAGCCAACATGGTGAACTCCCATCTCTACTAAAAATACAAAAATTAGCCGGGCATAGTGGTGTGCATCTGTAATCCCAGCTACTCAGGAAGCTGAGGCAGGAGAACCCCTTGAATCCAGGAGGCAGAGGTTACAGTGAGCCAAGATTGTGCCATGGCACTCCAGCCTGGGAGACAGAGCGAGACTCTGTCTCAAAAAAATAAATAAATAGATAAATAAATAAATAAATAATAAAAAAGCCTCTTGCTAGGTTTACAATCCAGGACTGTCTTTCCCAAGGAGCCGTCCCTTCAAAGTTTAGTAATCACCAAGGAATATATCACCCTATCTCTCTGTCCCATGGGAGGGTAGGAGCCTAACTTTGGTTGGCAGTTGGAAAACTACCCCCTGTCATAAAGATATGAGAAACTTTACTTTTCCTTTGGGTAAAGCCAGCTGGGAAACAGAAATGGTCCATGATCTCCCTCTCAACCCGGTGATAAAACACCTTGCCACCCTTCCTTCCACAGAGTTGAGGTCAGACTTGGTTCTGGTCTCTCTCCTCTATTGTAGTAGTCTTGAATAAAGTCTTCCCTGCCTGTTAGTCGTGTCTGGTGCAATTTTCGCTTTGACAGTTCCCAGCGTGGTGACATGGAAGCCTCAGCATCGGGACAATCCCTTAAAACCCCAAACCCGAGAGGGGGAGACAATTGCCCTGGGTTACAGGGGGACATCTAATGCTATGAGATTCCTTTACAGGGATTTTCCTGCAATTTATTGTGCTGATTGATGTCCTACGTTGGCATTGTTGAAATGAATTCTACCTGGTCAGATTCCTTTAAAATATTACCAGATTTGATTTTCCAATATTTTATTGATGGTTTTGTGTCTGCACTTGTAAGTAAGGTTAGTCTACAAATCCCTTTCTATACTAATTTTATCAGATTTACAGAACATGGTGGAGGGAGTTAACAGTAAATGTAATATAATAAAAAACATTGCTGCCAGGCATGTTGGTATGAGCCTATAGTCCCAGCTACTCAGGAGGCTGAAGTGAGAGGATTGCTTGAGCCCAGGAGTTTGAGACCTGGGCAACAAAAAACTTTTTTAATTAGCCAGGCATGGTGGTGTGCACCTTAGTGCTGTAGGAGGACAAGCCACAGACAAAACTCCTCAGACAGCACATTAAAGAAGGAAGGAGTCTTTATTCACCCAGGAGCTTCGGTAGACTTGCATCTTAAGAGCCGAACTCCCTGAAAAAGAAATTTTTGGCCCTTTTAAGGGCTTACAACTCTAAGGGGTCCAGGTGAAAGGGTCGTGATAGATCAAGCAAGCGTGGGGAATGTGACTGGGGGCTACAAGCATCAGCTAACAGAACAGAAAGTTTTGTAATGCTACTGTATACAATGTCTGGAATTTACAGATAACACAAGTAGTTTAGGTCAGGGGTTGATATTATTATTATTGTTATTATTATTTTAACTCCTAGGGCTTGGTGGTGGTGCCAGGGTTATCTGGCTATTTATCTTCTGTTTCTTTCCAAATTTTGTTTTCTCCCTTTTCTCCTGTCTTATAAACTAGGCAAAAGTGGGGGACAGAAGGGCAGCAGGAAAAGTGGTGGTCTCCTTTCTTAGTGCCAGCTACTGGGAAGGCTGAGGCAGGAGGATCACTCAAGCCCAGAAGTTCAAGGATACAGGCTGAGCACAGTGGCTCACACATGTAGTCCCAGCACTTTGGGAGGCTGAGGTGGGCAGATCATCTGAGGTCAGGAATTCAAGACCAGCCTGGCCAACTTGGTGAAACCCCATCTCTACTAAAAATACACAAATTAGTCAGGTGTGGTGGCACACGCCTGTGATCCCAGCTACTCAGGAGGCTGAAGCAGGAGAATCACTTGAACCCAGGAGGCGAGGTGGAAATTAGCCATGAGCCAAGATTGTACCACTGCACTCCAGCCTGGGCAACAGAGCAAGACTCCATGTCAAACTGAAAAAAAAAGAAGAAGTTCAAGGCTACAGTAAGCTGTGATCACACCACTGCTCTCCAGCCTGAGCAACAGAGCAAATCCCTGTCACTAAAAAATAAAAAGGGAAAAAGAAAACTAAATAAAAAGGATTGTTTTACACTTAGATTTCAAGATTTAAAAAGCTGTCAAATATCATATATTCAAAAATTCTGGTACCATAAAAAGAGAACAGTAGAGATCTCTTAATGCTGCAATTATCCACTGAGGTTTCACAGTTTATGAACATCATGCTTTTTTGTAGAAATCTGCTAAGCTTACTGTTGAATCATTTATATACACTGACTAATTTTTGAGCCATCATCAATGTTCATGAATTATGTAATTTAGCCTCAGCAATGTTTCACATGCATTTGAAATAATTGCACTTTACAAAGAGACTTAATACATGCAACAATGAGTAAATTAACGTGTTTATTAACATGAGCAGTGCTCTTTTTTTTTTTTTTTTTCTGGGAGACAGGAGTTTAAGTTCAGGTAAAACGACACTCTTGGCTTTGAGGCTTTTCTCTAGCTTTAAACTCTAGCCTACAAGCTGCTTCTGATTAGCAGCTAGGTGACCTTCATTGTACAAAGAGCCTTCATCCTCTTGATCTTGGGTTTTCTTTCTAAAGGGCCTTGTGTGCTTTAATCCCACGTTTTAAGATATGATAGCTGCATTGAACGAATTGGGAGATTTTCCTTCCTTCTTTATCTTTCCATTGGTATTATTCAAATAGCATGAGGATTATCTGTTACTTAAAAAGTAATCTGCCTTGTAAGAACTTAACATGTTTAATGAACTTAGAAACAAAAGAGCTTGCCTGTTAAACCGTCTAGGCCTGATGCATTTATAAGTGATTAATTATTAAATACACTTTCCACTTTTTCTATAATTATTCTATTCTTTGGTATTTTGCCACTTAAAAGGAGACTTGTTGCTTTCTGAAAATACTCTTTCTTTTTCTACATGACTGCTGGAATTCACCTTTTAAGGTTCTGTGTCCAAGGCAAATGCCACTCCAAGGAGCCGGGCCTGTCTCTGCCTTCAGTCAACCTCCACGTGGGTTTCCAAAGCTTAGTATTAAGTTGGGCATCAGGTTAAAATAAACATAATAAACATTCTCATCTTTTTTCTTTCTACTAGCATTTCTATTTCTTTTTTTTTTTTTAGAAATAGGGTATTGCTCTGTTGCCCAGGCTGGAGTACAGTGACATGATTATGGCTCACTGCAGCCTTGACCTCCCGGGCTCAAGCAATCCTCCCATCTCAGCCTCCTAGGTAGTTGATACTACATGTACACGTCA